AAAGAAAAAAAAGCTCCTTGTAAAGTAGCCTTTTCCTTAGGGCTGTGATTAATTACTCATTTAGTTTTGTTTTTATGGACTATCTAGTAACATTGTTTCTTGCTGGGTAGCGTTTAAGACACTGTTACAAAGCAAGGAAATTGTTTACAAATAGCTGGCTTCCTTTTATTGTACTGTTTGTCTTTGAGGGAGTTAATATGCTCTTACAAAAATTCCTAGAAAGTCTTTAGTCACAAATACGGAAATGTCGTAACCTGAGGATAGTTACATTTATATACATTGTAACAGCCGACCAACTCTGGATAACTACAATTGTGTTTGCCCAAGTCAGATGAGGTCATTTTGAAATGACTATGAATGGTGCCTCATTTTATTGTTTTTCGCATTAAATGCAATGATGTTTAAAATTCTATATTTGTACCAATCATTTCAGACTTTTTAGAACTATTTATCTTTTTTTTTTCCCCCCCGAGATGGAGTCTCACTCTGTTGCCGGGGCTGGAGTGCAGTGGTGCAATCTCAGCTCACTGCAACCTCTACCTTCAAGGTTCAAGCAATTCTTGTGCCTCCGCCTCCAGAGGAGCTGGGATTACAGACCTGCGCCACCATGCCCAGCTAATTTTTGTATTTTTAGTAGAGATGGGGTTTCACCATGTTGGCCAGGCTTGTCTCGGACTCCTGATCTCTGGTGATCTACTCGCCTCAGCCTCCCAAAGTGCTGGGATTACAGGCGTGACCACCATGCCTTGCCTAGAAGAACTATTTCTCTAAATTTCATTCATTTAAAAAGAAACAATAAATGAACAGCAAAAAAGGTGAGTGAAGCAAGGGCGCTGCCTTCTCAGGGGCCTGCGTCTTTAAATCCGTGTATTCCCCTCACAGGGCTTCTTTCGGCGAACGATTCGACTCAAGCTGGTGTATGACAGGTGTGACCGCACCTGCAAGATCCAGAAAAAGAACAGGAACAAGTGCCAGTATTGTCGCTTTCACAAGTGCCTTTCCGTCGGGATGTCACACAACGGTAGGTAAGCTGGCCCCGCACATCTCCCCAGTCCGTTCCTCGGTTCCCCTTCCTTGTTCAAAGGGAACAGACCAAGCTATGAATGAATGTGCTTCAACATTTCACACCCAAGTCATTTTGTAATCAGAGTGGCCTGAGAAACTAAAAGTCTCCCAGGCACAGTGGCTCATGCCTGTAATCCCAGCAGTCTGGGAGGCGGAGGCAGGCGGTTACTAGAGGTCAGGAGTTTGAGGCCAGCCTGGCCAGCATGACAAAAACCCCATCTCAACTAAAAATACAAAAATTAGCTGTGCGTGGTGGTGCACACCTGTAATCCCAGCTACTTGGGAGGCTGAGACAGGAGAATCGCTTGAATCCGGGAGGTTGCAGGGAGCTGAGATTGTGCCACTGCATTCCAGCCTGGGCAACAGAATGAGACTCTGTCTCAAAGAAAAAAGAAAGTCTCAAATAGCTGAGATTCAGTGGTGCATTGGACTCACTGTCAGAAACTTCAAATGGTAAGACTTTGATACAGAATAGAAAAACTAACTGGAAGTGACCAAAATGACAGAATGTTCGCCTCATCCGTAGGAAGGGGCTGCCACCTCAAACACCCACCACAGTACGCATTTCCTTCTAGCCAGTCATATCGTAGTTTCAGAACATGCTAATTGTGACGTGGATGCAACTGTAAAGTAAGCCGTTCGTGACAGTTGCATGTCTACCTTCTGGAAAAAGAAGCAGTTATTATATAAACTCATCCTGAAGCCCCATTCACCTCCTTAACTCAAACGTTGATGATGCCTGATGGTGGCGTGCACCCTGCTAACGATGAGAATGACGGTGTCACCTTCACCCTGCACATGTTTAAAAGCCTACAGTATTCGGAGTTTGAGTTTTTCATCTCTCCATAGTAGAAAGCTGAATAGTAATCAAGGGTGGGTTTGAACTGCCTGTGAGTTTTCATTCCCGGTTTAAGTCCTGGGGAAGCCCCTCGCCCAGCCCCGTGAGCACAGCCGTGACCTCACTGCTCACGCCCGTATTTCCCCCTCCAAACCCTAGCGATTCGTTTTGGACGAATGCCAAGATCTGAAAAAGCAAAACTGAAAGCAGAAATTCTTACCTGCGATCATGACATAGAAGATTCTGAAACCGCAGATCTCAAATATCTGGCCAAGAGAATCTACGAGGCCTACTTGAAGAACTTCAACATGAACAAGGTCAAAGCCCGGCTCATCCTGGCAGGAAAGGCCAGTAACAACCCAGTAGGTGTTTGCGGCCGCTCTGTGTTCTGTTGGCAACGTGGAACCAGGGTCGTAGAGGACGATTAAGGACACATGTGTTGAATGTTGAGAAAATGATATTTATCCCACAGTTAAGCAAAGGACAGTGAAGACGGAAGTAGTCATTCTGAGACTCTAAGCTGTAGCTTAACAACGCCTATCTTCTTGCTTGGAGCCATCTCAAAGCTCTTAGCAACCACGTTATTATCCTGGCTATGTAATTAATACACTTAAAACAAACCATTTAATAGCTTACCAAGTACTAAGGTGATTTCTTAAATGCATTTTTTCTTAAATGGAGATAGGATCTTTCTCTGTCACCCAGTGGTGCAATCACAGCTCACTGCAACCTTGAACTCCTGGGCTCAAGCAATCTTCCTGCCTCCACCTCCCAAGAAGCTGGGACTACAGGTGTGCACCACCACACCTGGCTATTTTGTTTGTTTGCTTGTTTGTTTGTTGGTAGAGATGAGATCTCAGTGTATTCCAGGCTGGTCTCAAACTTCTGTACTCGAGTGATCTTCCCACCTCAGCCTCCCAAAGCACAGGGATTATAGGCATGAGCCATGGCACCTAGCATTAAGTGCATTAAAAAAAAAAAAATCCGGCCAGGCGAGGTTGCTCACGCCTGTAATCCTAGCACTCTGGGGAAGCCAAGGTGGGCAGATCACTTAAGTCCAGAAGTTTGAGACCAGCCTGGCCAACATGGAGAAACCCCATCTCTACTAAAAATACAAAAATTAGCCGGCATGGTGGCACACACCTGTAATCCCAGTTACTTGGGTGGTTGGGGCATGAGAATTGCTTCAACCCAGGAGGCAGAGGTTGCAGTGAGCTGAGATCATGCCACTGCACTCCAGCCTGGGTGACAGATCGACACCCTATCTCAAATAAAATAAAATAAATTCCTATTTTAAGGGACATTAGTCTGTTCTCACACAGCTATAAAGAAACACCTGAGACTGGGTAACTTACAAAGAAAAGACATTTAATTGGCTCATGGCCCACAGGCTGTACAGGAAGCTTCTGCTTCTGGGGAGGCCCCATGGAGCTTTGACTCATAACAGAAGGCCAAGGGGGAGCAGGTGTCTTAAATGGTGGGAGCAGAAACAAGAGGCGGGCGGTGCCGCACACTTTGAACCGACCTGATCTTGTGGGAACTCTATCACTAGAATAGCACCAAGAGGATTGGTGCTAAACCATTCATGAAGGCTCACCCACAAGAGCCAATCCCTCCCCAGGCCCCACCTCCAGTACTGGGGATTACAATTCACCATGAGATTTGGGTGGGGACACAGAGCCGAACCATATCATAAGGCCAGCAAATGAAACCACTCATTTCCCACTCAGAATGCGCTCTTGATCCTTTTTCCTAAAGCCACTCCCTCCCTCTCAGACAAACATGCTTACATTCCTTTTCTACCTTCAATGAAAAGGCAATGACATCTCAGGGCTTAGAAAGTGCCACTTGTGGCTGGGCACGGTGGCTCACACCTGTCATCCCGGCACTTTGGAAGGCCAAGGTGAATGGATCACTTGAGGTCAGGAGTTCGAGACCACCCTGGCCAACATGGTGAAACCCTGTCTCTACTAAAAACACGAAAAATTAGCGGGTGTGGTGGTGGGCACCTGTAATCCCAGCTACTCAGGAGGCTGAGCAGGAGAATCGCTTGAACCTGGGAGGCAGAGGCTGCAGTGAACTGAGACTGCACCACTGCACTCTAGCCTGGGCAACAGAGTGAGACTCTGTCTCAAAAAAAAGAGGGGGTGGGACCTGACACAGTGACTCACACTTGTAATCCTAGCACTTTGGGAGGCTGAGGTGGGCGGATCATGAGGTCAGGAGTCTAAGACCAGCCTGGCCAATCAGTGAAACCCCATCTCTACTAAAAATACAAAAATTAGCTGGACGTGGTGGCAGGCACCTGTAATCCCAGCTACTTGGGAGGCTGAAGCAAGAGAATTGATTGAACCCGGGAGGTGGAAGTTGCAGTGAGCTGAGACTGCACCATTGTGCTCCAGCCTAGGTGAAAGAGTGAGGCTCTATCTCAAAGAAAAAAAAGAAAAAGAAAAGAAAGAAAGAAAAAAAACCACTTCTTACAGAAACTTTGTCTTTTAAGATAGCTCTGGACCTTTTCAGAGGCAACTAAGTTGCCCCTCATGGCTCACCCTCCACTCCGCTGCCTGTCTGGCCTAAGTCCTTCTGCCCCTTCCCCAACAGTGAAATAAGCCTTTGTCTCCATTACAGAGCAATCTCAGAGCTCCCTTCAAGAGCAGCCAGCCCTCAGTTGGTGAATGAAGATAGTTTACCATTTTCCCACGAGCATGGTGAAACAGGGTTAATTTGTACTAATGAATAGCTTGAAGCAATCCTTATTAGGAATTACAAGGTGGAATTTTAGTCATAGGAAAATAAAGCATTTCACAAGCTACTTACTTTCATGAACAAACCAAACCTCTTTTTTTCACTGAGTCTTTTAATTCTTCAGTGAATTCTCCAATTAAATAGGCTGAGACATTTTAGAAGTTTCCAGCAGACACCCACGCTAGGCAGCCCCAGAGGTCTGTCCCAGTTAGACCCTTCCTGGATCACGAGCAAAAGAAAAGGTAACTTTTAGCTTTGAGTCTCTATCCTGGAGATGATTAGTAAGCCCCAAATTGGGATGACTGAAACTTTTGTTTGACAGTTTGTATTTCTCCCTTGATTTAAGAATTGAAAGCAGGCTGGGCGCAGTGGCTCACACTGTAATCCCAGCACTTTGGGGGGCTGAGGCAGAGGATCACTTGAGGCAATCCAAGAGTTCAAGACCAGGCCACACAAGGAGACCTTGTCTCCACAAAAAATGATTTTTTTTAAAGCTAGCTGAGCATGGTGGCATGTGCCTGAGGTCCCAGCTACTCGGGAAGCTGAGGTGGGAGGATGGCTTGAGCCCAGGAGCTCAAGACCAGCCTGGGTGACACGGCAAGACCCCGTCTCTACAAAAAGTAGAAACGTTAGCCAGTCATGGTGGCATATGCCTGTAGTCCCCCCGATTCGGGAAGTTGAGGCAGGAGGATGGCTTGAGGCCAGGAGTTCAAGGCTGCAGAGAATCATGATTGCACCACTGCACTCCAGCCTGGGCGACAGAGCGAGACTCTCTAAAAAAAAATTCAAAGCAGCATTAAGTTGCCTTTCCTCCTAACAACCTGCCTCCCGCCCCTAATGGGTGCAAATGGGACTCCTGGAGTCCTCCTGCACCTCCCCTTGGAGACCCCCAAGCTTCAGGAGCTGCATCACCCTCAGCTGAGGATCACACACAGAGAGTCGCAGGCAGGAATCTGTTTGCATTTTGGCCTTAAGTAAATAATAGGCCAGCTGCAGTGGCTCAGGCCTGTAATCCCAGCACTTTTGGAGGCAGGTGGATCACCTGAGGCCAGGAGTTGGAGACCAGCCTGACCAATATGGTGAAACCCTGACTCTACTGAAAATACAAAAATTAGCCAGATGTAGTGGCAGGTTCCTGTAATCCCAGCTACTTGGGAGGCTGAGACATGAGAGTTGCTTGAACCTGGGAGGCGGAGGTTGCAGTGAGCTGAGATCACATCACTGCACTCCAGCCTGGGTGACAGAGCAAGATTCTGTCAAAAAGAGAGAGAGAAAGAGAGAAGGAAAGGAAAGGAAAAGGAAGGGGAGAGGAAGGGAAGGGAGGGGAGG